CGCCCTCCCGGCCGAGGTGGTCGCGGTTCCAGTCGAGGCGCCAGTTGTGGTCCGAAGTGTCGCACGGAAACACCTCGGTCGGCTCGGAAATGCCCTCTGCGGCGGCCTGCGCGGCGAGGTGGCGCAAAAAGTCGCCCTTGGTGCGGAAGCGGGCGCCGCCCCACCGGGTTCCGAAGGCGGTCCAGGCGGCGAGGTGGTCGGTGATGTCGGCCTGCGCAAAGACCGTGACGGTCGGCAGGCTCTCGTAGCGGTCGAGGATGTGGCGCAGGTACGCCTCGCCCTCGCGTCCCACATTGGGGCAGCGCACCTCGGCAAAGCGAGCGCCGCCGCCGCCGCACGGGCCGTCGCCCTTGTTGTAGACGGTGACCGCCGCCGGCTCGAGCTCAGAGAGCCAGCCGAGCGGCTCGTCGTAGCGCGCGATGACGAACTCGGCCATTCGGCGGCCGAGCTAAGAGCGCACAAACGGCCTCGAGCGTGAGCCGGGACCGCGTGCAGGAAGCGATTTCGAAATTTTCCTCACGTCCTACCAATTTCCGCCTCGGGTGCGCTGTTTTCTTTCTTTCTTTCGACCAATCGCTACTGCGAGCGCACAATAGGTGTGTGAGCTCCACAAGCGTGCCAAAAGAGAACTGCTGTGCGCGGTATCGGCTGTCATGGAGTATCATAGTTCATACTCGATCGACTTCACTTGCTTGAGCACTTGAGCACTGGATAGGGTCGATTCCGCGTGGTACGGGACCCCTCGATCGTCTCGCCCTCCCTCACTGGTAGGTTCATTGGGGGGGGTCATAACAAACACGGTACAGGATCGAGGTGCACGCTGCCGAAGCAGTGTCGTCCCCCCTGCCCCTCTCCCCGACGGCGATGGCGGTGTGACCGATCGAGCTACAAGAGGAGCTTGTTCAGCATGATCAGGGTGAGCCGAGCAGTTCTCACTTCCTCAATGGGTTCACTTGCTGTATTACTTACACGTTGAAAGTTCCGCGCCGTTCTGATCAACTTCCTTGGGATCAACTTCCTTGGGATCCTCCTCCTCCCACCGTGCGCCGTGCCACACCACTCCTCGCCATTCATACGTCAGAGCCCGCTACCTCCCCTCTCTCTCCCTCTCTCTCTCTCTCTCTCTCTCTCTCTCTCTCTCTCTCTCTCGCTCGCTCGCTCTCTCTCTCTCTCTCTCTCTCTCTCTCTCTCTCTCTCTCTCTCTCTCGCTCGCTCGCTCGCTCGCTCGCTCGCTCTCTCTCTCTCTCTCTCTCTCTCTCTCTCTCTCTCTCTCTCTCTCTCTCTCTCTCTCTCTCTCTCTTAACCCTTTTACGACACATTTCGGCGAGTGAACAGCAGCTCCTGAGCACGGCGCCGCAGGCGCCTGTTGATAGGTCCAGGTGATAGCCCTGGATGGGCAATGCATACGCCTACTTGGGCCTCAGATCGCCCGACCGCGTCCCGGACGGTGCTCTGCGTTCGGATTTGTGACGCCGCCGCACCGCGCCGCGGCCGGGGGCCCGCCGGAGGACGAGGATGGCCGTGACGGACCGGGACGAGCTCTGGGAGGTTCAGTGCCACCGCCGCCGCAGCAGACCGGCCCATCGACCGCCCGCCTCT